ATGAAACTTAGGAAAGATATTGACAACAATTGACGCCTGCCTCAGTCTGAACTAATAATATTCATCCAGAGGAACGTCACAAATCTTACATCACCCAAACGGAAGCCTCAAATAATTAAACAATCATAACTTTACAATAAATTATAAATATCATAACTTTGCCTGCCTCAGCCTGAACTTATAGTATTCATTCAAAGGAAAGCAAACAAATCTTATATCAACCCAACGGAACCCTTACAATAACGAGTAACTCACAATTCCACTAATAACTATATATACATCACAACTTTATGCCGGCCTCAGCCCGAACTTATAGCATTCGTACAGAGGAAAGCAAACAAAACTTATATCAACCCAACGGAACTCTTACAATAACGAGTAACTCACAATTCAACTAATAACTATATATACATCACAACTTTATGCCGGCCTCAGCCCGAACTTATAGCATTCGTACAGAGGAAAGCAAACAAAACTTATATCAACCCAACGGAACCCTTACAATAACGAGTAACTCTACTAATAAATCAACAATTTCCCCATAATTTGGAACGCCCGTCTTAGCCTTAAGGACTAAAGGCAAAACTCTACCCCGGAGATCGAACTTGCCCGAGCGGAATAATGGGTTATTCCTGCGTAACTTGCCGATCACCGAAGGCAAAATCTCCCCTTGAGATGCTTACCACAGAGCGAAAATAAAGATTATTTCAGCTGAGGTTCACACCCCCCGACCGTTCGACTAAGACTGACTTTAAGTGGCCTTATATACCCTATCTATACGCTCTGTACTGTAGAATGCACGTGCATGAACCTTGACATGGATTTTTATCACAATTCAATACCCGCTCTCCCATTGGCTGGTTGCCACCACCGCCATCCAATCAGAAGCGCCAAACTACACATCCCAAGCCATTTGACAAAATGACTGGTTTCTCTAGAAATTCCACGTGGTACGAGCGGTACTTGAAGTTTAATGTAATATAGAGCCGATAATATAAGCCATTTCTATATATAGGCAAAAATAAGGTAAGTCAAAGTTTATCTCATCGCTTATCACCTAAGAAACCCCCTCAAATAAAATAAAACCAAGTACGAACAATCCAAACCATTAGACAAAATTCAAAGTCCTAAAAAAACGGTATAGGCAAAATAGTGTAATCAGCATATGGTCCGTTCACCGTGTACAAAATACACGACAAACAGTGGTAACAGGTGTCCGGAAGAGTAAGCTTACCCTGTCTGCGCCACACCTGCCATAGCTGCATCCAAACTATGAGGCGAAATCTCGGTAAAATAGCGTGATTGGCCAATAGACTATCGGTATGCAAAATGCACGTGATGAACAGTGTTAACGATGTAGTAGACAGACATAATCAGCGAGATTGTATACGCGTCAATTAAATATATCTAGAATAATAGCCGAGAGAGACATGTTATATTTACCAATCAAGTCAATGTGACGCCCATAAAACTTTTTAAAGGTTTTAATAAGTTTAGTTCGCAAGTATTCCTGTAGTTGAAGCTTAGATGACAAATGCCTCGATCTACTTAAAAAATCAGAATAAAATGAACAAGCTCTCGCGTAACGAATTAGTTGAGACACAAACACTCCATAAGCTGGTGATATTGGAATGTTAATTCATACAAGTAATTTAAGATTTTCATTATCACCGGAAGTAACGTCATTTTGGCAAAAACTGTATTTTTAGCCTTCAAAACAGATATTTTATTCAAATGAGTCTGAGTTGTTATGTTTTTTAAAATTATGATATTTGATTCCAATCAACAAATAGAATGAACCCATACGATCATACAGATACCAGAAAAATGGGTTCTAACTTGTACGGTTGCAGAGAAATAGACGGTTTTCTACAAGTCACTTTTTAAGGTTTTTGGTCTATAAAAGTGGCAATTATTATTCGATTTACATAAAATTTTCACCATGTGATGCCTTATGCCATTTCTGATTTCATAAAACTAATTGAACATTTTCATTATCACCGGAAGTACTGTACACTTACATGTAACAAATGTATAAAATGAATTGATATTGCTGGATTTGGTTGATTCGGCGTCCATTTTATGTGATGTGTGCAATGATTAGGTGGAAACCTGTTTAATGGTTTCATTGGTACCGGAAGTGAAATATGTTAAGGGTAACATGGCACTGGTGAAACCCGTCATTACTGCTTCGCAGTTCTAGTTGTTAATATTACTGCAATATTTAAAAAAACGACAACTTTGGCGTTTCGGACATTTCGCATAGTTGCAGAACGTTCAAAAAAGCTTTAATCTCTAAGTCACACCCACTTTCCCAGTAAAACTGAAGACATCGAATTGATCCGACAAGTAGTTTCTGAGATATGCTCAAGTGGGAAAAAAAAAAAAAATAATAATTAGAATAATCTTAACAAAAACAATAGTGTTTCACACAAGCTACGCAGTGTGAAACCCTAATAAATTAAAAGCACCAAAAATTGGGATAAAATGTTCCGTTTTTCAATACCCCAGACGAAATATATCTATAGACATCTCGGGTAAAAGATCACTATGCTGTCAATAGCTGAGGAAGGTTCGCAGCAGCATCTTCAGTACGTTCTCGTGGCTAGAAATGTTCTGTTCTGTGAGTAACACCTTTTCTACCAACATTCCTAGTGCCAGATAGGTTAATTTGGTCAAAAATATTTTAGAAATCAGACCGGCTTATTCCCAGCGTGAAAGTCAGATTTTTTCACAAACATAATATTACGATTTTAAAAAAAATGACCTATGTGACACGACGCACGTTCAAATAATGAAACGTATAGAAGTAATGATGATGATAAGTAGTCATTTGGAGATAATCGTTGGTCATTGCTGAAAATGCATTTACACACGAACATATGCATCTAAGTAAGTGAGCGCTTCTGCTCGAACGTAGGTATATGTAGGAGGTTGGCACATGCGGTCAACATTATACTGGAGTGATATAAATCTTGTTGTGATCTATGGCATCTTCCCCTTCAGAGATTTCAGTACCAGACATTAAAATTCCCTACATGAACACTTCAAAATGGTTCTTTGTATTGCTCTTTTATACATGATAATCATGCCAGTCAATAAATCTATACAATGATCTGCTCCTAAATACAGATCTTAATAATCGTGGTATAATCCCTGCAAAATTATACACGACTTATGACCCTTCCTTATGGCTATCAAGCGAGCGTGAAAGTCAGATTTTTTCACAAACATATTACGATTTTTAAAAAAATGACCAATTTGACACGAGGCACGTTCAAATAACGAAACGTATAGAAGTAATGATGATGATCAGTAGTCATTTGGAGATAATCGTTGGTCATTGTTGAAAAGGAGCTGCTTTGGTTAAGATTGTGCTGATATAAAAGCTTGCCATGCTAGCCCATATATTTATGCAAAATTATACATCAGTTACGCCCCTTTCCTACGATGACTGTGAATGTCCGATTTTGCAACAAAAACTTCATGATTTTTATATGTCCACATTTTCATGTGGATGTATATTGTCGTCGCCCCTGTCTGTCCAATGTCCGTCCACAATTGTTTGTGGACACTCTACAGGTTACAATTTTTATCCAATTTCAACGAAACTTGAAATATAGGTTTATCTCCCTAAGATCTTGGTTCCTTTCGATATTGGCCTGTATTGGACCGTCACTTCATGGATTATAGCTCCTTATTATATGAAAAATCGCATTTTAGCTTGTGGACCCTAAAGAGGTCACAATTTTTATCTGATTTTGTTGAAACTTGAAATGTAAGTTTATAACCCAAAGATCTCGGTTCCTTTCCATATTCGCACATATCAGACCGTAACATCCTGAATTATGGCCCCTGATTGTATGAAAAATCATGTTTTTAGCTTGTAGAGGTCACAGTTTTTATCTGATTGATAAAAAGATGTGAATATATCACCATTATACACTAAGGTCTTGGTTCCTTTTGATAATCGCGTATATCCGAACGTAACTTCCTGGATTATGTCTCCTGGGTGTTCGAAAAATCACATTTTTAGCCTGTGGAGTCTCTAGAGGTCATAATTTTTTTTATTCCGTTTTTAAAAACCATTTAAATATTTCACCATTCCACCATAATGAAGGTTGAATTCGAATTTCAGGAAAATCGAAATGAAACTGCTCAACAAAATGGCTGCTCTTTGTACGCAAATTGTGTAAAAGTATGCATTACGAAGGTTGTGGACCCTCTAGAGGTCACAATTTTTATCCGATTCTGATGAAACTTAAAATATATCTTTATATCCCAAAGGTCTTAGTCCCTTTTGATATTTGTGCATTTCAGACCATAACTTTCTGGATTATTGCCCCTGATTTTACAAAAAATCCTGTTTGTTTTTAACTTGTTCTCTATCCATCTCTTGCAAAATGTGGGCGTATCCTGCCTGGCAGCCGCTGGTTTTTTCTGATTTTAAAAACCATTTAGATATTTCACCATTCCACCATAAGGAAGATTGAATTCGAATTTCGGGAAAATCGAAATGAAACTACCCAACAAAATGGCCGTTCTTTGTACGCAAATTGAGTAAAAGTATGCAATACGAAGGTTGTGGACCCTCTAGAGTTCACAATTTTTATCCGATTCTGATGAAACTTTATATCCCAAAGATCTCAGTCCCTTTTGATATTTGCGCATTTCAGACCATAACTTTCTGGATTATTGCCCCTGATTGTACAAAAAATCCCATTTGTTTTTAGCTTGTTCTCTATCCATCTCTTGCAAAATGTGGGCGTATCCTGCCTGGCAGCCGCTGGTTAACCAAGATAGCATATTTCAGACCATAACTTACTGGATTATGGCCCCTGATTGTACGAAAAACCACAGGTTTTTTTTTAGCTTGTTCTCTATCCATCTCTTGCAAAATGTAGGCGTATCTTGCATGGCAACCGCTGGTTGATTAAAAATGCTGGTTGGTCTATGTTTTAGGTTGATCTATTATTTTATTATGAAATTTTTGTTTTCAGGTTGGCCATGTTTCATCAACTGGTGAACAAAGATCAAGGTCACCTTACAAATCTTAATTTGACATATTATTAACAACTGTTATTTCTCTGGTTTATATTTTTTAAAGCTACATACATGAAAAAATTAATTTGATTATTGCCATTCATTATAATTTTTATACACCCTCATTTCAGTGTGGGCGTATCATGTCATCACCCAGTCCGTTGGTCTGTCAACAATTGGCTTCCCAGGTAGCAGTCCTAATTTGGTCCAACATTGGCCCAATGTATGCAGTTACGTTGGTCCAACGTAATTGTCCAATATTGGCCCAATGTTTTTCGGTCCATTGCCCCAATGTTAGCCCAATGTTGGCCAAACTTAAATTTGGCCAACATTGATCGAGTATATTTAAATCTGTTGGACCAATTTACATCCACCCGCTCCCCACACTGCATACCCTCCCTACTTCTCTTCCAAAATTGCTTAGACCTCATTATGCATGTAATAACACCACAGCACAATTAGACCTAAGCAAAAGCCACCTAATTCTACCCAAATCCACCATTATTTCAACTCGTGTCTCATAAATACGAAACATACACCCACTGCAGCTAAATCGTACGAGTGGTCAACAAGGGTTGTCGCTTATTTATTCCTTAGTAGGTAATGGGGGGGGGGGCCTTTACAAGACAGTTCCATACAGATCAGATTATAATTTTTGCCGTTTGAGGGTTCACAAGGTTCTACAAACTGAAACAAGGGTCTCAACTCTGGAAGTAATCTACAGAAATTGTTCCAGGCTTTTTTGTTTTACTAATTTAAATAATGCATATAAATTTCATACAGATCAGATGATCACTTTTGTCATTCATACGTTAACAAGGTTCACAACCGCCATAACTCTAGAAGTTATTGACGGAAATTGCTGAAATTCAATAGACCTCTGTTTCACAAGTTTAAATGATGCATATAAATTTCATACATATTGGATGATAACTTTCATCAATCGAGCATTAACAAGGTTGAACAAAGTGAAACTCTAGAAGTAATAAACTGAAATTCAATAGGGTTCTTCTCTTTACTAATTTAAATGAGGCATGTAAATTTCATACAGATCAACAGATAAATTTTGATGTTAGAGCATTCACAAGGTTCAATAAATTGACTCTAGACGTAATAAACGGAAATTCAATAGGCTTCTTGATTTCACTAATTAAATAATGCATATAAATTTCAGAAAGATCAGATGATAATTTTTGGCGTTAAGAGTGTTCACAAGGTTCAATAACTGAAACAAGGGCCATAACTCTAGACCAGGGATGGGATTTCGCCTGTATATTCCGTACTTGTCTAGCGCTATTTTCCAAACGCCCAAAATTGTGCGACCGGGAATATGCCCAATCGGACATCAAAGACATGGTGAATAATATTCAAAATTCTAAAATTAATATAGTGTACAACTACCACTGAACCCGATTATCGTTGATAATAGGCTGGATTGATTAGGTAATTAAGTGATCAACGTATTCATCGTGTTATACCGTCTATACACCTACCTTGATTAACTACTTAATCAGCCATGATTACTGACAATTCATCAATCTAATCTTAAACAGAAGTCATTGCTTCCCCTTCGTCGGACTATTCATCAATCCAATATGAGTGATTATAATTTTAATCCACGTATTTACCTTGTAGTTTCGGGCAATTTAATCGCATTGATGTGAGACGACAGCATATATAAACTAGTTATAGATGTCACATATTGTAAGAGTATATAACACCCTAAATCAATGGACAGTCATTTTGTCTGCGCTATCTTTTACGACTCCATATAGAAATTCTCATCCACAGTGGCACTTTCCCGTGATCTCGAGCGCCGCACGAAAATTGCTTAACATATAAGGCAGTGCTTACTAGGAAGCTATGTGCTGTGAGTCCCGTACGCCATACGCTGAAGTATTATTATTTCAAACGCTTTTCTTTCATTTGCTGCCATATAAACCAAGACATGTAATTTAGGAGGAATATTACTGGCAGGTACGGATCGGCAAACTTTCATTCTATCGTAATTTTGTAGGGCATATTACTGAAATACATTTGAATACCATAACCATACGGGAATTAAATATGAAAAATGGTGAGGTGTTTCTATTTCTATTACGCACGGCCTTGTATATTTTGTTGATAATTTATAAAGAAAAAACGATGTTCTGACATCACAAACTTTTCTTATTTCGGAAGTTCTGCATTCATTTCCTGCCGTATAAACGAAGACACGTAATTTTGAAGGAATATTACGGTTGTGAATTTGATGCCGAAGCAGGACCGGCAAGCTTTCATTCAATGTATTACGAAAATGCTTAATTTTCTAAGAAAGTTACTTACATAAATTTAAATGCCGTACGGGAATTAAATGTGAAAAATAGCGAGGTTCATAATACATATGGGATTTGACGAAACTTGAAATATAGGTTTATCCCCAAAAGATCTCGGCTGCTTACGATATTGGCATGTATCGGATCGAAAATTCATGGATTATGGCCCCTGATTGTACGAAAAATCGCGTTTTTAGCTTGTGGACCCTATAGAAGTCATATTTTTTATCCGATTTAAAAAACTGTATTATTATATCGCCGTTACACCCTAAGGACGGCTGAGTTCAAATTTCGTGAAAATCGGCCCAAAACTGACAGACAAAATGGCGGCCCTTCGTTCTGAAATAGCGTAAAAATATGGTATATCAAGGTTGTGGACCCTATAGAGGTCACAATTTTTATCCAATATTGTTGAAACTTGAAATATAAGTTTATAACCCAAAGATCTCGATTCCTTACAATATTTGTGCATATCGAACCGTAACTTCCTGAATAATGGCCCCTGACTGTACGAAAAATCGCGTTTTTAGCTTGTGGACCCTATAGAGGTCATAATTTTTATACGATTTGAAAAACCGTATTATTATATCACCGTTACACCCTAAGGATGGCTGAGTTCGAATTTCATGAAAATCGGCCCAAAACTGACAGACAAAATGACCGCCCTTTGTTCTCAAATAGCGTAAAAATATGGTATATCAAGGTTGTAGACCATATAGAGGTCACAATTTTTATCCGATTTGGTTGAAACTTGAAATGTAAGTTTATAACCCAAAGATCTTGTTTCCTTTCGATATTCGCACATATCAGACCGTAACATCCTGAATTATGGCCCCTGATTGTATGAAAAATCATGTTTTTAGCTTGTAGAGGTCACAGTTTTTATCTGATTGATAAAAAGATGTGAATATATCACCATTATACATCGGACTGTAACTTCCTGAATTATGGCCCCTGATTGTACGAAAAATCGTGTTTTGAGGTTTGTGGACCCTATAGACGTCATAATTTTTATCCGATTTAAAAAACCATATTATTATATCACCGTTACACCCTAAGGACGACCGAGTTCGAATTTCGTGAAAATCGGTCCAAAACTGACAGACAAAATGGCCGCCCTTCGCTCTCAAATAGCGTATATCAAGGTTGTGGACCCTATTGAGGTCACAATTTTAATCCTATTTTGATAAAACATGAAATGTAAGTTTATAACCCAAAGATTTCAGTTCCTTTCGATATTCGCGCATATCAGACCGTAACTTCCTGAATTATGGCCCCTGATTGTATGAAAAATCATGTTTTTTGGCTTGTGGACCCTATAGAAGTCATAACTTTTATCCAATTTAAAAAAAACGTTTTAGAATATCACCGTTCCACCTGAGTTACACCCTAAGGACGGCTGAGTTCGAATTTCGTGAAAATCGGCCCAAAACTGACAGACAAAATGGCCGACGTTCGTTCTCAAATACATGTAGTGTAAAAATATGGCATATCAAGGTTGTGGACCCTATAGAGGTCACAATTTTAATCCGATTTTGTTTAAACTTGAAATATAAGTTTATAATCCAAAGATCTCGGTTCCTTTCGATATTCGCACATATGGGACGGTAACTTCCTGAATTATGGCCCCTGATTGTACGAAAAATCACGTTTTTAGCTTGTGGACCCTATAGAGGTCATAATTTTTATCCGCTTTTAAAAACCTTATTATTATATCACCATTACACCCTAAGGACGGCTGATTTCGAATTTCGTGAAAATCGGCTCAAAATTGACAGATAAAATGGCCGCCGTTCGTTCTCAAATAGCGTAAAAATATGGTATATCAAGGTTGTGGACCCTATAGAGGTCACAATTTTTATCCGATTTTGTTGAAACTTGAAATGTAAGTTTATAACCCAAAGATCTTGGTTCCTTTCGATATTCGCGCATATCGGACCGTAACTTCATGAATTATGGCCCCTGATTGTACAAAAATCGCGTTTTTAGCTTGTGGACCCTATAGAGGTCATAATTTTTACCCAATTTAAAAAACCGTATTATTATATCACCGTTACACCATAAGGATGGCTGAGTTCGAATTTCATGAAAATCGGCCCAAAACTGACAGACAAAATGGCTGCCCTTCGTTCTCAAATAGCGTAAAAATATGGTATATCAAGTTTGTGGATCCTATGGAGGTCACAATTTTTATCTGATTTTGTTGAAACTTGAAATGTAAGTTTATAACACATAGATCTCGGTTCCTTTCGATATTTGCGCATATCGAATTGTAATTTCCTGAATTATGGCCCTTGATTGGAGGAAAAATCACTTTCTTTTTAGCTTGTTCTCTATCCATCTCTCGAAAATGGGTTACTACTACTATTACTACTCCATTGGGTTATTCTTAAGAATTGTCCGATTTTTTTTTTTTTTTTTTGAGAAAAAAAAAATGTGAAATAAATTCGTTGTCATGTCGAATCACTTTTTGTTTAATGAGTTATATTATCAAACCTTGAGGTTGGCTCATTGTCTTAATAGACCGGATGAATCTTTGACAGCACATCGGCATGGATGTAGGTGAATTTCTGGCGTTATATCTGAAATAAGTGAAACTACAAAAGAGGCCTGGCTAGCTTTATCAATTATTAGACGATGTAATAAATTGCAAACAAGACAATTAGGGCATAGTAGAGAGTATCATCTTTCGTCAGGAAGAGTTGATCCGCCAAAGTTATTTGTTCCACAAGAACAGTTGCAATATTTAGTTGATAAAGATCTGTAATTTGTAGAAAATAAAAT